AGTGGCCAAAATTAGCACATCAGGCCAGCAGAGGAACAGGGTGGGACACATTACCAGCCTAGCCTGTCCTAAAGGCATGAGCCCACGGCAACCCTGTCCCGAGGCCAGGTCTTGATTGCTTTGCCCTTTGGCTCTGACCTTCCCGGCTTGCATTCTACCCCCTGGTGCTCCATCACTCCTGTGTGCCCAGTTTGGCTGCCTCTGCCTTCTCACTTGGATTTCCAAACCCAGCCCAGGATCTGTGGGCACAGTCATAGGGCTATGACTATCCTATGCTCCCCTCACTCACCCTCTGGGCTCAGGTCAGACAGAGACAGGCCACCTTCCCTTAAACAAAAGCCCAGGGTGGTCTCGCTGGATGGGCAGGGTGGCCCAATCAGCTGCCTGTCCTTCCACCTCCTCTCCTCCCTGCTGGGCTCAGTCACGGCCTCAACCAACCCCTCAGGCTGGCTAGGGAGACTCCCTTTTTGCAATTGAAGCCTTTTTGAGGTTTTAGAGGAATCAGAAAACATTGGCAGAACTGCATCTGTGGCTTTGCAAGGATGAGTTTCACAGATGAGTCTGGCAGTCTACACATTTCTGCTGCCTGGGGCCTTGACCTCAGCTCCAAGATACTGCCAGCATAGTCTTTGGGGCTGGGCAGCCTCACCCAGGGCCTCTCCTCTAGGATAGAACTGAGGGCACATGCAGCTCTCACTGTCCTGATGGGTAGACCAGGCCTAGGGAAGAAAGGGTTGGTACAAGGCCACATGGCACACCCATGGCAAGGTGATGTTAAGACAGGCTAGGGGAGCATCTCCTAGGGTCCTTGTGACTCTGGGAGTAAGGGACACTGGCAGGGGCAGCCAGGCCAGCAGGGCAGCACATGCTAACAAGCAGGATCCTCCCCAACAGCATCCACCCCAAAGGCCTGAGGGATATGCAGCCAAGAGGAAGAAAAGGATAAAGAACCCATGCCTCCCATGGGACAGGCCCGGGGCATTTCATCTATACCAACTCAGCTGGTTGAGCCAGTGGTATCTGTGGTCCCTCAGATGGGCCTGTGTCACTCAATCTCGGGAAAATAAGAAAACAGCCACATCCCAGGCCAGACAGGCCAAATCCTAGGACCACTGGGCAGGTGTTGGATGGTTCAGAGCAGTCACATGGAGGTGGAGGTTTCCCGCAGAGCTTTGGGGTTGCTCTCTCTGGGTTTTGCACGCTGCTGTTCTGCAGGATGTCAAGGAAAAGCAAGAATGACACTCTTGGACCCATTGGCCAAACCACTGCTTTGGGCAGGCCCCATTTTCCATCGCTGGGGAAGGAAAGGGGCTGGCTCAGACTCCTGAGGGGGAGGCGTGGGCCTGCACTAGCCCTCAGGCCTCTGGGGCCCTGCTCTTACCACCTACGAGGCTGGGGGACAGGCCCAGGACAGTATCTCAGAGGACTGACCATCCCAGGAGCTCACTCTGAGGCTTCTACTTCTGGGACAGCCAGGGCAGGAGAATAGGCACCAGGGCCCTCCAGGCCCAGACACTTCTCACAGTATCAGATGACAAAATCGTTCTTATAAATTCTCACTGTTAAGAAAGGAAACCTTTTTGTGCTTTATTCCATAAGATCATTTGGAAGGGAGGGGTGCATGGAGCTTGTACGTTTCTTGTCCACTCCCTGCCTCCAAGGTGAGTTCAAGTGTGCTTCAAGGCCCCTTGATGTGGCAAGGATGGTCTTACCCTATAAGCTAGTGCTGTCTCCACTCCAGCATCACTCCCAGCTGCTGGGGGAGGGGAAATCCAAGACCTCAGGGCCTCAGACTTGCGGGTACTTGTTCTTGCCTTTCTGCAAAGCCCCAGGAGAGTTTGCAGCACCTCTCCTCATCAGGCCCAGGGAGGGGCTCTGCAGCAGCTGCATTCCAGCTGTAAAGCCCACCCCACAGCTGGCCCAGGAAGGGGAGGGGCAGAGGGAGGGACACGGCTCTTACATTAATTCTTTCCATAAATGTCTGCTGAGGACCTACCGCGGCCAATGCACGGAGGGTGCCACTGTGAACCAGATGGATAAGGCTGCCAGGTCCTACATCCTACATCTTGGAATTCAGGCAGGAAGGGAGGGCTGTGAGGGGGGGAAACTAGGGGTCCAGCTCAATCTCCCTAGGAGCTCTCTGAGTCCAGGCGGCTGCATGGACCAGGCGGTGTCCTCCACCAGCCAAGCTGTGGCAGGAGACCCCTCTGTAGGGAAGTACTTGCCATGACCTGAGATGCTCAGCCACCCCAAGCCAATACTCAGGTCCACTGCAGCTAAGGGCAGGTCCCCTGGTAACAAGAGAGGGCCCCAGATAGGCAGGACAAAGACATTCATGTCTGCCTGGGAAGAAGCCCTCAGGAGACTCCATGTTAACTCTGGAAGCATCTGAGCCCTCACAGGAGAACAACTCCAGAAGGATCCAGGCTGACAAACCCACACCAATCCTGAACACTCCCAGGAATACTGGGAACATCGTGTCCTCTGGCAGGTGTCAGCTCCTAGGAATTCCAGACACATGGACTTGCCCACCATCAGCCAGATTCCTGGACCTCAGAGTGAGGCCAAGGAGTGCTGGGCAGGGGGTCCGGGTGGTACCCAGGCAGGGGTGGCCTAAGAAAAGGCTAATAATGCTCATGTGCCCCCAGGTCACCAAGAAGGGATGCGGGAGACAGGAAAGCATTTCCCCGACTCAGCCAGAGGTTGGTGGGACTCCAGTCAATGGGTGGTGCTTGTTGAAGCAAGGGTGGCCTCCCATCTCCAGGGGTGGGATCAGCAAGGTTTGTCTCTGCCCACACCTTTGATGAGACAGATTGTTCTGGAAGCCCTCGAATGCTCCACAGGAACATCCCCTCCTTTTGCTCATCTCATCTGGGTCCTTGTCCTTTCGAGGACATCTCAGTGAAGGCGACCACGAGGACAATGGCCTCCACTTTGTGGAGACAAAGACTAAAGATCTAGTGTTCCCAGCTGGTATTTCATGAAGCCTCAGGGTAAATTCCTTACTGGGAGTTGCAGTCAAAAGAGAAAAAGTGACAGTCTTACTCTGGGTCTAGCCAAACATCCAGGTGGCACTGGTGACAGGCTAACACACAAGTGAGTCTCACTTTGTCCACCACTGGGAGCATCTGGGAGGTGGGCACCAGCATGCAGGAGCCCACCTACTGAAACAGGGGTGCAGGGTCAGGGATGACCTGTACCCTGTAGTGAGGGGGTTACAGCCTCCTGCCAGACCACATCCAGGGTCCTGGCTTCTATCCCTGAAAAGGCCTTTAAAATAAACATTTGCCACAGGGCCAGTAGATGGCAGTGGTTACATCGCCAGACTCTCACAGAGCCAATCACGGCTCGAGTCCCAGATCCGGTGTCTTGAAACTTACACCAGGGGTGTGTGTGTGCATGCCCAAGATCCTGGAAGGAGAATGGAGAAGGGATTGGGGAGGGGCCACCCACCCTGGGGGTGATGTCTCACTTGCCCTTTCACTGGCTCTGTCTCTCTCTGGCAAACACACACACCCTAAGGCAAAAACATCAACAAAAAAATTAAAATAAACAAACGCCATAGGTGAAGACTTCTGGGGTCCCAAGGGTGTAGCAGACATCTCCCAGGAAAAGCTCACGTCCCAGCAGTTCAGCTCCAGGGAGGGGACTTCAGCACAGTGATGCACAGGATTGCAGGGGACCCTTCCTGGGTATCCTGAAGCCAAGAACTGAAGGTTCCTCTTAGCAGCCACACTTGCCCCTCAGCACTACAGAGCAGCTCTCCCTTTTGCACGTATTTACTCATCCGGGTCCTTGACCCTTTCAAAGGCATCTAAGTAAAGACCACCACGAGGATAGATGGTGGAGACAAAGACTAAGGATTGAAGTGTCCCCAGCTTCAGGTTCTAGCAGTGTGGACACCCCCAGCCTGGACTAGTCCCCAGGTTCACCCTTCTCCCAGGACAGCCCTGCCTGAGGGGAGGGATGAGGAAAGGACATGCCCCCAAAGCTACCTCATCCAGGGAGCCTAAAGACACCAAGGCCCAAGGCCCATAACCCCTAGTAGGCAGCAGGCTGGGGCTGCACCCCCATCTCAGTTGTCCTGATGTGCTTCCCGACATTCCTGCATCTGTTTCCACTTTGCAACCCAGGGAAACTTCACAGGGCAGCTGCCTGGCTCCCGGAGCGCATGTGCTGGGGGAGGCCCCCCCGGGGCTGGCAAGCTGCCCCACCTGCCACATAGCAGCTAGGGCCAGGAGGGAGGCTGCTAGGACCGCCCGCCCAGGCTTGCCCTGGGTCTCCAAGGTGAAAAGGAGGGACCTCCCACACCCAGCCCCATGGAGAGTGACTCCACATACCTCTCAGACAGAAAGGCCAGCAGGAAGGGGCCAGCCTGATTCCAGAGGCAATTATGTTGAGAGCCAGCCAGAAGCAGGGGAGCAGGGGTGCCGTGGGGTGGGAGTGGCTGTTCTTCCCCACCAATTCCTTTGCTCCTGGCCCCATCCTCAGCCCTGCTTCTGTACCTCTCGCTGGTACTCTCCCTTCCCTTCCTGGAGCCCTCCCCAGCTGGAGAGGCCACTTGGTCTTCAGGGCCTCCATTAAGACCCTGAGCATCAGGGTCCTGCTTCTCGGTTGTTCCTACTCCACCTGCTGCAGCCCAGACCTCCCAGCTCCCTGAGGCCCCTCCTTTCCCCACCCAGAGAGCAGCTAAGTCTCCCTGAATCTTGGGGGCAGAACATCCAGGCCTGGGTCCCTGCTAGCTGACCCCCTATGGCCTTGGCATCCCAGTGCCACTCAGAACAACTGCAGAGAGCATGTGGCCCAGGGTCACAGGGATCTGTGAATGGAACCAGGATTCCACAATTCACAGGAAGGAGTCACTACAAAACAAATGGCTGCTACCTACCACTCCGAGTCCATAGGCCTCAGCAGGCGCCCATCCTCTCAGCCTAAGTCTGGGTACACCCAGGAAGGCAGGCAGGACACTACACCCAGCAGCCCAGGGCAGCGACACTTACCCAGGCAGGTCCTGCCGTCCGTGTGGAGCCGGAAGCCGGGCTTGCATTCGCAGAGGTAGGAGCCTGGGGTGTCCACACACCTGTGCTGGCAGCCGCCGTTGTGCACCCGGCACTCATCCACATCTGGACAGACATCAGGGGGCAGGGTTATCGGGCTGTGCCTCTCTCACTGGGGATCTCATCCCTAGCCCGGGGGTTGGGATCTTTCTTGCTAAGACCCTCTCTATCAGGCAGCACCTGCTGCACTCCCTGAGCCCAGAGCCTCTCACGGACGCTCATTCTCCAGAGCCAGAGAGAGGACAGGGTCTGTCTGGCTAGTCTGATGCCCGAAAGGGCCTGGGGGTGCCCACACCCTTGGGCGGCCACCCGCCGTTGTGCACCCGGCACTCATCCACATCTGGACAGACATCAGGGGGCAGGGTTATCGGGCTGTGCCTCTCTCACTGGGGATCTCATCCCTAGCCCGGGGGTTGGGATCTTTCTTGCTAAGACCCTCTCTATCAGGCAGCACCTGCTGCACTCCCTGAGCCCAGAGCCTCTCACGGACGCTCATTCTCCAGAGCCAGAGAGAGGACAGGGTCTGTCTGGCTAGTCTGATGCCCGAAACTTGGGAACAGGTTCGGTGTGGAGAGGCCTGGCTCCTGGTCTTTTTTAAGACTGAACTTGAAATACACACTGTGCCTTAAGTCCAGTTCCAGAAAATGCTCTCAGAGCAGCACTGACCACTCTGCGGGAGCCCCACGGCCCAAGAGGAAGAACTGCTTCTTGAGAGGTGACCCGCCTGATTTCAGGGGAAAAGCTGAAGAGAAGGCAGGGTGAGGGAGTGTGGGACAGCTTCAACAGCCCCCACCCCCGCCTCAGGATGTGACCTGATCTTTGATGTAATGGGAATAGAGATAAGGTCATTTAGGATAGGGGGAACCCTAAGTCCAGTGACTGAAGAGACTCAGAAAAGCCCCTCCGTGGAGACGAGGCAGAAATTGGAGCGAGGCGGCCACAAGCTAGGATTGCAGGGAGCCACCAAAAGGCAGAAAGGAAGAGGTAGGAGGGACCCTCCTCACAGGTCTGAGAGGGAGCGCAGCCCCACCAGCACCTGGGGACTCTTGGCCTCTGACTGTAGAGAAGAAATTCCTGTTGTTTAAGTCACCAAGATTGTGGGGTTTTATTACAGCAGCTGCAGGAAATTAATGCAGGTGGGGTTTGCCTGCATCTCGCCCCCCACTGCTGGCTCTACAATCACACCTGGGACCCCCTAAGCTGGGCTGGCCCCTGCATCACCTCCCAATCCCATCCCCTCAAAATGCCACCAGACTACTATCCCATTGCCCAGAGCAACCCAGTTCCCTTCACCCTTCCTCTGCCCCAAGAGCAGCTCGGATTTTTAACAACTCCTGTAGGTTTCAAATTTATATGTGCAGGTTCCAAACTCAGTGGAGTCCCCACTCAAAGGTCAAGGCACAGGAGACAGAAGAGGTGGGAGGAGGGACACAGGGAGGAGGAGGCGAGGTGACCTTGTCCAAGGCCTTACATGGGCAGCCCAGGTCACGGATGCCTGCAGGAACGCCTCACTGCCTCCACAGTCCCCTGGCCCTCTAATTCCCTGAGTAAGGGAGGCTGGAGAGAAAGAGAGAGGGACAGGAGGACACTTCATACCTGTGACCACCAGCACAGGACACCTGTGCCCACCTGCTCCTTCTCATCACCGTGGCTCAGGCCACAGGAAAAGGGCTGCCCAGAAGTAGGCAGGGCCAGCCAAAGGCCCCAAGAGATGCCTCTGAAGTGTTCCCTCATGACTCTTGCCCAGGGTTGGAGGTTCAGGAGGGTGTACCCCAGAATCCCAGGCCCACCACCTTCTGTAAGAACGCTGTAGGTGTGCTAAAGGCTCTGGCTGCCCTGGCCTCTTGCCCTGCCCTGCAGGCCCACTCCGCCTAGCCAGGCCTCAGGCAGAAGAGGACAGAACAGAGCAGCAGAAGGGTAGGAGGTACCACCTGCATATGTGGTATTGGCTAACCCAGAACAAAGGTCCAGCAGCCTGGTAGGCACCCTGCTAGCCAGCTACAGAACCCACCACGCAGGGCCCTAAAAAATGCCATGGCTGGGGGCCAGCAAGGGGCATAATAGTTAAGGCGCTTGACTCCCACATGGTCAACTGCAGTTTGAAAATCGAAACCGACAGCTTAAAATTCACACTGGGCACATGTGCATTTGTGCCCAATGTCCCGAGAGAACACTGGGAGAGGAGGGATTGCAGCATGACCATCCCCCCAGGGGATGATTTCTCGCTTTCTATCTCTCTGTCTCTGTCTTTACAGTGAGTACACAGACACTATAGCAAAAATAAAAAACAAACAAACAAACAAAAAAACAAAAAACTGTCATGTCTGAGAACCAGCCCTTGGCGTAGTGGCCGAGGGAGCTGGATTCCTCATGGCCTGACCATGCACTTCATGTCCTGGACCTGAGGAGATGGGGAAAAGGAGAAGGGATTGATATGTGACCCTTCTCCGTGGTTGTGTGTGGGCACGCTTTCTCCTTCTCTCTTTCTGTGTCTCTGTCTCTCTCTCTCTCTCTGGTAAGCATTATACCTTCTGGCACATTAAAAAAAAAAAAAAAACTGCTGTGGCCGATACTTAGACAAAGACAGGAACATGAACTGCCTTGGAACACCAGAGAACACCCTGGTGACTCACCCTCCAGTGGGAATTTCAGAAGGCACAACTACAACGGACCCGACTTCCTGGGAGATGCCAAGTGACAGGGAAAGAAGCTGAAGCTCAGACAAGGACAGAAATGGGAGCTGCCTTGGGACTGACACAGGCACCCAAGTCCACACCTGTTCTCAGGCCAGTCTGACCAACCGTGCACCCAGCTTCAGAGGGAACACCAGCACATAGACACTTTTCATGTAAGCTACAAAGCAGTATCTGGAATGCCCTAGCCAGGATGACAAAAGAGGCGCTGACCACTGACTGGGCCTTGAAAACAGAAGGCTGTTTTGTGCAAAGTGCCCGTGGTAATGCACCGCTCAAGAAAAGCCAGATCCCACCTGGCAGCCAAGCCTGCAGCCCTTGGCTCAGACAGTCGGAAACATGCTGGGCACGTGCATGACTGCCTAGGCTTTGACAGGTTGGACGACACAGGAAGGGACTGTGGTGGACCAGACTCTCCAGAGGATGCTCATTTCTCTCTCACACTCTCACGTGCACATGTCATGCTTTATCATGACATGAATAAAGAGAAAAATAATTAAGTGCCAGGGAAAGATGTCCACTCGACAGTAGTAGGTCTGTGCTGGGTGAAACCAGGATTCCAAATGGCAAGTCCTGCCTGTGTGGGAAACAGCTGGCCGGGATGACCTGCCCCAGGGGCTACATGGAGCTGGGGTCTCTCATTCTGCTAACAATCTGACAGGGCCACACTATCCTCTGACCACGTGGGCCTTTCAATTTCGCTCCAGTTCCCACCCACCACACCCATTAAAAAGCCCACCTTTGAGGCCCCATCCTAAACCCCCAGCCCAAGCCTAAGCACACTCTTGAAGGGTACCAATGGCAAAGGCAGCACAGAGTGAAGCACTTCACAACTGTCTCCAAGCCTGTCAGCTCTTGGCATCTGCCCACCAGGCCATGCTGCCATGAACAGAAATCCTGCTGCCAATACACACCTGAAAATATGACTGGTGATCCAAAACCATACAAAACAAACCCGGCAGGTCTCTGCCTAGGACCTCTGGACCACCTGCTCCATGTACAAACCACCTCCACTAGGAGACCCCCAGGGTCCCACCTAATCCCTGAGGCTGCGTCACAGAGGAGAAAATAAAGACCAAGAGCACCTCTCTGCATACACCACACAATGCTCCCAAGAGGGAGCATGCAATGTGTTGGCACAGCAATGTCACCACGTGCCAGTGTGTGCTGTTGATCCTGTCATGAGGCTGCCAAAGTCCACAGCCCAGGGCAGCAGCACGACCTTGGAGATGCCCGTGCAGAGCTCTGGCCCTATTAGTTCTTAAACTGGCCCTGTTCTGTGACCATGATGACACAAAGTTGTAGAGGCCAGGATGACCTGCAGGGAGAAACTTAAAGACAAAGGGTTAATGGGCCCCTAACAGAGCTCCAAAGAAACTGGGGATTGGAGGAACCCAAGGCATGGTGGGGAGTCCTACCACTCAGGGCCCATCTGTGGGAGAACCAGCTGGTGGAACAGAGCAGGGCGCCACCCATGCCAGGGGTCTCATACAGGAAGTCTTTCCCTCTAAGTTCAGATCCCTCACCCTGAGACCCCCTATGAAGGTCCGCTGAAAAGTAACAAGGTGGCCACACAGAGCACAGCAGGGGGTGGGTGGCTTAGCAAGAGCAGGCCTGTTCCATAAAATCTCAGCTCTTAGCTGGTACTCTGAGGTCATCCCGGGCTTCCCTCCTGACCCCTCCTCTAATGGAGAGGCTGACTGAGGTGACCCTGGGCCCTGAGGGCAGTGGACTCTGAGCTGCCCTCAGCCCTGGTTGAGGAAGTAGGGCCAGTGTGAGGGAGGTAGTCCAACCTGCCCGTTGTCACACAGTTCCCTGGATCTCAGCCCTGCTGGCTGAAAAGATGCCAAAGGGAGGGACAGTCTGGGAAGAAGCTCATGGGGACACCCAGGTGTGGTGCGGTGGCCAGTCAGCAGGGTCCTTCTGGTTGGCTCTCTGCCCTTGGGTGAGGCTGACCCCGAACAGCCTGGGCCTCCCTGCACACACCCACTGCCCTCCTGCTGTGCAGACACAACACTGAGACTCCAGCATCCCACCCTAGTGCTAGGCCAGCCTCCTCGAGTCCTAACTCTCTCCAGAAAGCCCAGTTCCCTTCCAGAATGCACAGGCCAGAGGTCCACCTGGCCAGGAGAGGAATTCAGCACCCCTTCACCCACACAACCTCTCTCAGGAAGGGCTGCTATAGCAACCCCAGCCTCAAGTTCTTCCCACCCGGCTGCATTGCCTGGCAGTCGGGGCTGCCATGATGGGGAAGACAAGGTCTACAAAGGGTGGCATGGAAAAGGGCATAGGAGAACTGCCATGGATTCCTGCGCCCACTCTCTGCTGTTGACCATGGTCAGTATCTGGACACAGCAGGCCAGTTCAAGGCCAGAGGATCTGCAGCCTACTCCTTTCACCTCTCAGGGACAGACACATTCTTATGGGTGGGACACTTGGCTATATGATCTCCTGCCTGGGTCCCTTCCAACTCTGAGATCTAGGCTCCTTTGAACTGAGAAAATCCGCTTCATGGAAATTATTCACACTCAGAAAGCAAAGCATGAAAGGAGTCGCCCAAACCCTGCCAGAGGAGGGCCACAGTGCAGAACAAAGCTCGAAGGCCCTGTAGGTGCTGACCCATGACAGTGGCTGCGGCCATACTGTGACCTGAGGAATATGGCAGCCTTTAAGGACAGCAGGGTCAGCTGAACAACGTCTCCCAGAGATGTTCACATCTTCCTCCCCAGAACCTTCCATTAAGGATCAGGATGGGAAGTCATCTGAGACCATCCGACTGGGCACAAGACAATCACAAAGACCTCGTAAGAGGGGGACAGGAGGGTCAGGGTGAGAGGAGGCAAAGGAAGCAGAGATCAGAGGGAGCTGGATAAAGATGCTGCATGGCTGGCTTTGAGTGTGGAAGGAACTCAGCAGCCAGGAATATGAGCAGCCTCTTTAAGTTGGTAGAGGCAAGGACCGACTTTTCCCCTCAAGCCTCCAGAAGGAACACAGTCAGCACGCCCTGCTTAGCCTATCTTGGACTTTGATCTCCGGAACTGTCAGGTAACGATCTGTGTTGTGTTAAGCTACTGAGAGTGTGGTAGTTTGTTGTAGCAGCCCCAGGATGCAAGTGCAAAGCATGCTGCTATGATCTCAGGGGTCACGAGGTGCAGACCATTCCCACTGGAAATGCACGACTGCCAAATGTCCCCCTAAGCAGCCCAGCCTCCTGACTCCCAGCACTGTGCCCTATGGGGGCGGCTCACACAGCCAGGCTCACAGATGTCTATACCTGGGTACCTCCAGAAGCTAGAACCCCTGGGTTCCCTCCTCCTACAGGCCTGTGCTCCAGGATCACCTCCACCCGCATCATGGATCATGCTGGATAAGGTCACACTGAGCCCTGAAGTAGGTGTCCTGAGACATACAAAGGACCCAGTGGTGCCTTGGCCCCTTCAATTCTGACACTCCAGCAGAAACACCCACTCTTCTGATCAAACGGAGGTCTGAGCCCCACGGTACCCCAGTGAAGGCTCAGGAGAGCTTGAGGCTGTCCCTCACCCATGTTTACCCATGAGAGTCAGGGGACAAAAATGGCTCATTTCAGGGACAATAGCCTGGCTCAGGACTACACTCCATACCTCCAGGGAAGGCCAGGAAGAACTAAGCAATCGAGACATACACTCCTCCCCGGAGGAGCCAGCTGGCTGGGGTACAGGTGAGTCCTGAGCAGGGCTATTTTAAGAAATAGTGGGACCAGAGCTCTGCAGGGACATCCCCAAGGTCCTGCTACTGCCCTGGGCTGTGGACTTTGGCAGCCTCATGACAGGATCAACAGCACACACTGGCACATGGTGACATTGCTGTGCCAACACATTGCCTGCTCCCCGTTGGGAGAAGGGTTGGACGTGTACTGTCTACCAGATTGGGTTGGTGGTACCACCAGAAGCCATGTTGATGCCGTTGGCTGCCCAGGGGGCTTCCACCAACCATCACCTTAGAGCCACTAGCTCCTGGCCCAAGAATACACACCAGGCGGACAGGCATGAATAGGCTCCCTCTTTAGAAACCACCCGAAATAAGCCCCTTGTGAAGCTTTGCCTTGGGAGCCCTCTGGGACTTTTCCAGAAAGCTCTGCTCAGAAGCCATGAGCAAATGCAGAGCCTGCTCTGCCCCCAAACATGCCACAGTCCTCCCCCCAGGGAGCCCACAAAACTACCCATGGCCCTTCTTCTCAACTCAAAAGCCAGACAGGCCTCACAGCAGAATGGGGCCTCCCTCCTCCACACCCAGCCCAAGCCATTTCATGGCATTTAGTGCCACTAGCGGTGGAGCAATGTGCTAGTTTTGCCTTAGCTCAGTCACCAAGAAGGAGGGCTGTCTGAGTGTCTGCGGAAGGGGAAGACTAAACTTAGGTCACAGTTTGTCCCAATGACAAAGGCAGGGGAGGCCTTTGCCATAATCCAGGGCCTGGAGCTGAGTATTCTGGGTGTTCTACAGGCATGAGGGGCAGAGGTGCACCCTGGGGCACTGAAACAGCTAAGCAGCAGCAATGTCTTTAAGGAACTATTTCAGGGGACGGGGAGGGCACTTGGTAGGGAGTGCCCATGGCCCCCTGGATGATGCAGGGGGTGAGTCACGGAAGCCACACACACCACACTCCCTCCGAGCATTCCTGAGGATGCCCAAGTCCAGCTCTGTGGATCCCACAGAAGCTCAAAGAATTATCTAGAGGAAAACTGGCCCAGGGCATGAACCAAATCTCAACTGCAAAGAGTGGCGGTATAGATGGAGGACAGGGCTGTATCCTTCCTCCCAGAGTGCCGAGGTCCTCAAGTTCAGGTCCTCTCAAGTGACTTTGCAGCCCATGCCCATGCGACCTGAGGAGAGAGCAGGCACAAAGGACAGCACCTGCCACATCCACGCGTGATCCCAAACGGCAAGCTCTGGGACGGGGAGGGGCCTTGCCTTCTCACTTGACCCCCAGAGCCACCTGAGTCCACAGGCAAAGGCAAGGAGATGTTTTTCTTCCCACTGGTAGAATGACCTCTCTGCTGTCAGCAGCCACTGCAGCCAGTCCCAAGAGGGGAGAGCAACCTCTGATTCCCCAGGGCACAAGGCCCCACACCCTACTCTCTCAGCCTCCACGCTGTCAGCAGCCGCAAACTTCAAAAAGAAGAAACAAAGAGCGCGTCTGGAGCAGGCATCCTAGTCCCGCCCGCCCATCCGCCCAAAGCCCACCTGGCCTCTGGTCACCGGCGCTCACGGGGTAGCCGGCTTGGCCCAAGTGGCACGGGTAGCCGCCTCTCCAGAGGGAGCGCGAGGGCGGGC